TTGTAGATTTCCTTCAATTTCAGCATTTTTCCTTTCCAATTGCTCCAAACACGTCCAAAACTAAAACAAAAGAAAATTAACCCAAGTTAAGTAAAAATAAATAATTTGACGACATGAAACGCAAGTAAAATGACTTAAATAAGTGCACAAAATGCACTCATCAAACTACACTGAAATTATATCACATAAAATCATTATAGTAACAGAATTTAAAAATTGTGTTGGCAACACCTTTTCAATTAAATGAGTCAATGCGATATTTGATATATTGACCAGTGGACGGCATTTGGACTATTTCATCAAGGGAGATAGAGGGTTGCCTCGAGCCCTTGGCGCTACCACAAGGCCCGCAGATTCATCATTGACAATAATGGAAAATTTCACAGTTTGGAATACACAGAAAATTCTGCTGCTACGATTTCCCCCCTAATTCCATTAACAGGAGAAAAGGATGTGTTACTTTGGGAAGAGGATTTGACGATGTTCACTGGTGGTGGTGTCCTAATTCGTCTGCTTTTTTATAACCCTTGAAACTCCCATTTCATTCCTAATTTAATAATGTACAACAGCGTATATTTTACGGCCTAGTTAAGAGCCCATTAACACTTTGAGAAGTAGAAACGAATTTCAATTATGACTGATTTGAGTTTAGTTCTGCCCCTTGATTACTTTCTGGGATGACAGCAAGTCTTCTCCCCATTGGTGAGACTGATCCCATTCCTTTGTTCTTTGTCCAGCTACTCGGTCAATGAAGATGGAATCAGGGCATAGTCGGAGACATTTGTACAGTTAAAAAATATCAATCACATTCACTATCATTTTAGGATAAAGTTTTTGGTTTTTGTAGATATGTTTGCCTGTCAGAATTAAAAATTGGATTTGTTTGCCTTGGTTCGTAGTTAGTTGTTTTCTTCTCTTCAACGGCTTACTGCATACATGAGACAAGTGGACACGGCATTGTATTTTTATGTTGCTTATTTGGTATCACACTTGTCTTTGATCACTTTAAATATTTATCCACGGTTCAATTGGTCGTATTGCTAAACAATTATGTTTCAGGTTGGAAAGCGCATCCGGCAATTGACAAAACATAGAAGTGATAAAATCAAGGCAGTGGCTTCTGATGTGGTTGAAATATGGAAGAGCATAATTATTAGTTTATTACAGAAACAATGAAACAAGAAGAACGGGACGATTGACAATGATGATTCTGTGAAGGCCGAGGGAGTTCAAGAGTCCAGTATACCAAATTCAGTTAAGGCTATGAAGTCGGATACTTCCTCTACTGTGAAAAAAGTTGAGAATATTGAAGTCCAAACTGCAGAGAATGTTGCTGGGGAATCCATACATGTCAAGAAAAAATTTAAAGAAGAGAAGTCAAGAACTGAAGTGCGAAAACAAGCATCAGATCCCATTGGTCCTCCCAAACTGACTTCCATAATTTATTGCAAGGACTCGTTAAGGGACAAAATACGGGAAATGCTCGCAGAAGCCTTGTGCAAAGTCTCTAGTGAGGTCAATGATGATTTAAGGGATGAAGTAAATGCATCTGATCCTTATCGAGTTGCTATCTTAGTGGAGACTGCAATGTTTGAGAAGTGGGGTAAATCAAATGGTGCCCAGAAGTTCAAGTACAGGTCAGTAATGTTCAACATCAAGGACCAAAATAACCCTGATTTTCGGAGAAAAGTTCTCCTTGGACATATTGAGACACGTAGGATTCTTGAATTGACACCAGAAGAAATGGCCAGTGACGAAAGGCAAATGGAGAACGAAAAAATTAAACAGAAAAAGTTGTTTGAATGTGAACAGGGAGGGCCTCCCAAAGCGAGTACCAACGAATTCACTTGTGGTAGGTGCAAGAAGAAGGAACGCACGTACTACCAGTTGCAGACTCGTAGTGCTGATGAGCCTATGACCACATTTGTAACTTGTGTAAACTGTAATAATCGCTGGAAGTTCTGATTTGGTTGATATTAGATTTTGAAGAATGAAAAATCCATATAGAAGATTTATGAGAAAAACTATTTCTTGTGAGAATTTTTTTTTTTTTTTTACAGAAATATTGATCCTCAATATATATAGCAATAATGGAATAATTTCAAACTAAACTACTGCTACAAAATAGGAAAAAAGAATAAAGTTAACAACCCAACTAATCTCCTTCTAGATGATTCGTCTGTTGGTGTCTCGCTGGTGGTCCTTGCTGGAAGTTCCCTCGCTGGCTTTCTTCTTGCTGATTGTGTAAAGGCTGAGGCTGACTCGTATGCTCTAGCTGATTCAATCCTTCCAACTTCAATAGCCCCCCTGCAAGATGGAGAGTTACTCCCATCTTGGATAAGTGAGAATAAAAAGCTTGAGAATTCAACGCCTTAGTTAAAATGTCTGTTACTTGTGATGCACTAGGAACATGCTGAGCAACAGTGCTGCCATCTTGGAGTTTCTCTCGAACCAGGTGGCAGTCAAGTTCAATATGATTGGTTCTTTCATGAAACACCGGGATTGTGGCTATGTGAATAGCAGCCTTATTATCACAATTCAGAATGGCTGCTTGGGGATGCTCAACCTGTAAGTCTTTAGGTAAAAATCTGAGCCATGTTAATTCACAACAAAGGTTTGCCATAGCTCTATATTCTGCCTTAGTAGAGGATCTAGATACCACATGTTGTTTATTTGACTTCCACGATATTAAAGTTGTTTCCATGAAGACACAGTAGCCTGTTACTGATCTCCTGGTGTCCAAGAATGCTCCTCAATTTGAATCACAATATCCTTCCAGCTAAATTCCTAATTTTTGTAAGATAAAATAGTCTTTGTCCAGATGATTCCTTGATGTACCGTAGGACTTTGTGAGCAGCATGTAGATGTGTAATCTTTGGACTCCCCATGTATTGGCTTAACAGCTGCATTGAATATGTAAGATTAGGTCTTGTGATTGTCAAATATAAGAGCCTCCCTATTAACCTTCTGTAAAAAGATGGATTCGGTAGTAACTCTCTCTTCTTTACTAAGTTTCACATTCTAGTCAAGGGGTATCCTAGCTGGTCCAGAACCAATAGTGCCTGAATCTGCCAAGACATCTATAGCATATTTCCTTTGGCAAATATAAATCCCTTGTTTAGATCTTGCTACTTCAATGCCTAGGAAATATGTTAACTTTCTTAGATCCTTGATTTTGAACCTGTCATTGAGAGAGATTTTGAGTTTGTTCATGGTATTAACACAACTTCCGGCCATTATTATATCATCCACATACATTAGGATGGATGTGAAAGAATCACAAGCTGATTTAGTAAAAGGACTATAATCGGCCCTTAACCGAGTATATCCCTGCTCAATGAAGAAATTGGAGAGTTTGGAATACCATTGGCGTGAAGCCTACTTCAATCCATACAAGCTCTTACGTAATTTGCAAACTTTATTGTCACTGACATTATTGCATCTAGGAGGCAGTTCCATTTAGACGTCTTCCTTCAAGTCACAATGCAGAAACTCATTATTCACATCAAATTGGTACAAGCCCCATCCTTTGACTATGCCATTGCAAGCAAGGTTCTAATGGTAACAAGTTTAGCCGCAGGAGAGAAAGTTTCATGGTAATCGAGTCCCTTGTGTTGAGTGTACCCTTTTGCTACTAGACGGGTTTTGAGCCTTTCAACACTTCCATTGTCATTATATTTAACCTTGTATACCCACTTGCACCCTATGGCTTCTTTATCAGGTGGTAGGTCAGTCAAAACCTAAGTATCATTAAGTTCTACAGCTTCAATTTCAGCTCTCATGGCAGCACACCATTTAGGGGAAGTTGTGGCATCTTGATAGTTTTTTGGCTCAAGATGATTTGTTATTGAGGCTACAAAACTACAGTGAGATGTTGATAGCTTGTCAAAAGAAATGCTAGCACTAAGAGGGAAAGTATTACCTGTAATGTTCACTTCCTTCTTCTTGTTGAGCTTCTGAAATGGGAAAGTTGAAGATACCTGATGACATATGAAGTCCTGCAAGTGAGGATAGCGATGTCAACGAGCCGAGCCAAAAAAAAAGCTCGAGCCGAGCCCGAGCTTTTTTGGACCGATCTTTTTTTGACCCGAGCCGAGCTCGACCAAAAAAATGAGGCTCGGCCCGAGCTTTTGGCCCGAACCTTAGCGGGCCGAGCCAGCTCGGATTTTTTAGTTTTTTTTCTTAGCTGCCTTTGCAAAGGCAGCTTGCTGCCTGCAACTGCTTGCAGCAAGGCAGCTGCCTGCCTGCCTGATGCAGGTAGGTTGCTAGCTGCCCACGGGCAAGTTGCAAGCTGCCTGCTTGCTACTTGCAACAACTTCCTGCAACAAGGATGCTTGCTGCTGTAGCCTGCAGCAGCTGCTGCCTTCAAATTTTTATTTATTTATTTTTTTTAATAGGAGGCTTGCCCGGGCCATGGGTAGGCTCGGGCTCGAGCCGACTCCCCAAAGTGGGGCTCAGTTCCACTGGCCTGGCTCAAGCTTTTTTCGAGCGAGCCCGAGCCGTCCAAGCCTCGGAGCTTTTTTGCCACCGCTAAGTGAGGGGGTGTTTTCCTATTTTTGTTTGACCTGTGAGGTAAATGAGTAACAGTTGAATGGTTTGGTTCCAAGTTATCAACATAAAGATTTAACTCATGATGATCAACAGATTGGTTTGATTCCAAGTTACAACTAGAGGTTTGTGCTAAATCTTGGCTGATGTTTATTTAAGAGTCAGGGGATGCTGTATAAGGTGGATTATTGAGGGTGTTATTCCTTGGTTTAGTGCTAAATGAGGGGATGACAGGATCATTAGGGATGTTGAGGTTCTGTGTAAAACTTAGATGATCAAAACTTGTAAGTGCGTATTACTTCTGCAGTTGGGATCTTTGAATGGGAAAATGCTCTCACAGAAGGCAACATTTCTTGAAATAAAGACCTTCTTGGTTTTTAAATCTAATAATCTATACCCCTTTACTCCAAAAGGATAGCCAATGAAGATACAACTTCTAGACCTAGCGTCAAACTTGTGCCTGCCATGGATAAGGGTGGTGGAAAAAGCCAGGCACCCAAACACTCTTAGGTGATCATAGTTAGGTTTGGTTTAAAACAACATTTCAAAAGGGCTTTTGTGTTTTAAGATGGGAGTTGGTATTCTATTTATAAGGTAAACAGCGGTTAACACAAAATCATTCCAATATCTTAAGGGAAGGCCACTTTGAAATTTTAGTACTCTAGCCACATTCAAGATACGTTGATGTTTCCTCTCTACCACTGCATTCTGTTATGGGGTTTCAACACATGTTGTTTGGTGTATTATTCCCTTTCTTAGATAAAAATCAGTCATGTTGAATTCTCCTCCATTATCTGTTCTAATGACTTTAATTTTGGCTTCAAATTGACTTTCAATCATAGTGCAAAATTTTTGTAAGGCTGTGGTTGCATCAGATTTAAATCTGAACATGAAAATCCATGTGCATCTACTAAAATCATCAACAATGGATAGAAAGTACTTAGAATCATCCTTGCTAAATTCATTACAAGGCCTCCATATGTTACAATGAATCAATTCAAAACATCTCACTGTTTTATGGTGACTGATATGGAAAGGCAATCTATATTGTTTTGCTAGAGGGCAAATGAAACAATGATTAATATCAGAAGATGTAGGTATGTTGAGTTTTCCATCAGGGCTAAAATGAGAATACGAGAAATGGCCTAATCTATAGTGCCATAGATCAGACTTCTTAAGATTATTGGCAAAAAATGTAGAATGGGAAGCAAAACACTTGAACTGATTGAAAGCTTCTGACAAGGCTGAAGGGGAGACTTGCTTTTGCACCATATGGTATAGATCATCTTTCACCTCACCTATTCTAGTCGTTCTCCAAGTTAAAAGGTCCTGAATAAAATAGTAGTTAGAGGAGAAGATAAGGCAACAATTCAGAGATTGAGCAAGTATTTTTGTTGAAATTAAATTGAAGCTAAAGGTAGGAATGCAAAGAACATTATGCAGGGTAATAGTTTCTAAGATTTTGACAGTCCCTACATGCGTGACTGGAACACTTTTTCCATTTGGTAAAATACAGAATAAGAGACTTTAGACTGAATAGATGTGAAGCATGAAATAGAGCAGATCATATGATCTGTAGCTCCTGTATTAAGGATCTATGGAGTATCACCAACATCTTCATGTTTGTGATAGAATACAGTCATGCTTAAGTATGTACCAAACATTTTATGAGTGAAATCGTTAGATGGAGAGGAGCTAGCAGGTGTTTGGTAATTGTTTGATGAAGAGGTGGAATGTTGAGGATTGGTTGTTGATCTGATGAGTGCCATAAGCTGAGAATATTGCTCTTGACTTAAGGATACTTGGCCTTTGTCTTTCACCTCATGTTGATTAGTTGTTGGTCCTATAGAAACCATATTGACAGCGAATCTTCCTTTATCATTTAGTCTGTGCCCTGGTGGGAATCCATGAAGTTTATAACACTCATCCACCGTATGACCTGGCATTTGACAATAAGTGCATGATGGTCTGTTTGGATTGGCCTTAAAACATCTGTCAAGTGAGTGGCCTGTGATTTTGCAATGGCTGCAGTAGTATTTGTCCTTTTTTATGTGATCGAGAGTTCTGGTTTTCTCCTTCCCTGAAATCTCTTCTTCTTAGAAAAACGATGGGATTAGAATTGACTTAGCTTGAACTAGATATCTCTCGCCTTTTCTACTCTTGTTGGACCAAGGAATACATCTCATTTAGACTAGGAAATGATTTAATCAGTAGAATCTGAGCCTTGATTTCCTTGTAAGATTCATTCAGTCCCATTAAGAACTTCATAACCCAATCTCTTTGTTGGTTTTGAACTATAGTCTTCATGCCTCCACATGTGCAGTTGGGAATGCTTTCATAATTCAACAGTTCATCTAAAAGGATTTTGAGCTTAGAGAAGTAGACATTCACAGGATCTTGGTTCTACATCAATGTTGGGATGTCCTTCTTTACTTCAAAAATTAGTGGAGCATTTTGCTGGGAGAAACACTGCTCAAGATCATGCCAGAGAAGATGAACAGTTTCAACATAAATGGTGCTGCTCTTGATATATATTGCCATAGCATTTTGAATCCAGGTAATGACAATGTCATTACATCTCATCCAATGCTCCATTAATGGATAATTAGGGTCTTCTGGTTCACATAAAGTACCATCTATGAAGCCTAATTTGTTTTTGATCCTTAGTGCCCTCTTCATCGAACGACCCAAGAATAATAGTTATTGGATTCCAAAACATGAGTGGCCAGCATAACAGAACCTCCATCATTACTGCCAATGTAATATGGGCTGCTGGGGTGTGTTGGATCATATGAAAGGAATCCTAAATTCCTTCCATCTGTTGGTTGTTGATTTGGATTGGTGTTTGCAATTGTGTGAGGATTTATATCAGTTTGTTCCATTTTGGCTCTGATACCATATTACATTTTGAAGAATGAAAAATCCACATAGAAGTTTATGAGAAAAGCTATTTCATGAGAATTTTTTTATATTTTTATAGAAATATTGATCCTCAATATATACAGCAATAATAGAATAATTTCAAACTAACCTATTGCTACAAAACAAAAAAAAGAATAAAGTTAACAACCCAACTAATCTCCTTCTAGATGATTACTCTGTTGGTGTCTCGTTGGTGGTCCCTACTGGAAGTTCCCTCGCTGGCCTTCTTCTTGCTAATTGTGTAAAGGCTGGGGTTGACTCATATGCTCCATCTGATTCAATCCTTCCAACTTCAATAGTTGATGATTTCGAGCATGATTAATTCATTTTTCATTGGTATTAACCTTTGTAATCCTGGACGTTCTGTATTCTGTGCGGCTATTATGTTGTAGGATATTTTCTTAGGACTCTAAGTTCTACAAATGACAGTTTTTCATATTAACATTTTACTCTTCTTTTATCTTTGTTTGCACTCCTATAATAGGAGATGTAAAACCTTTTGTTTAAGCATGGTTTGAACTTTTCGTGGACATATGAGATGTGTTTTACAGATCTACAGTGCTTTTGTGCTTGAATCTCGTTTATTTTCTCAAGTTCCTACCTTGAAAAGGGTGTACAGTTAATAATCTAACATATATGTCCTTAGAGGCAGACATTTTAATCGGAACCAAATCTGTTGAACCAAAATTGAAGGTTTAGATTCGATTTCAAGAAAGAAAAATATTTAGGAATCGGAATTGAGAATTGATCGGATTCCGAACAATTCTTGGTTTTTGAAATAGAATCATGGATGCCTGATCTATAACCAAATTTGGCGCGCACACACACACACACACACACACACATATATATGTATATTTTTTTTACCCTACCAAATCCTAAACCCTAAATCAATTTTCATCTACCTCTCATTCTCTCCTCGTCTCTCTCTACTCTCTCCATTTTCTTTAGATTGTTGTCACCATTGAGGAGCTCCCGTCGCCGGAGAGTCGAGCAGGGGCTTCATCGCTGCTGTACTGCGCTGCGTTGTGAGTGGAGCAGTGGCTTCAAAATTCAACTGATCTATAGCTGTTATAACTCCGATCGGTCAGATCCAGATCTACGTGTATAGCGAGGTGTGATGTGGTGGTGGTGGTGGAGACGCCGCGTTGGTGTTGACAGTGTTGGCGCTACACGGAGGTAGCTACAGGATTTGTGAATGACATTGGTGTTGCGTCGTGGTGCTAGGGACATTTTCAGACGGATCTGTGGCTGCCGCAGGGCGTTGCTGATGTGAAGGTAGGTGGTAATTCTGCAGGTGGTGGCGTAGGGGTGACGGCGTAGTAGTTTGACTGTGTAGTTTTATTGGTGTGTGCAGTTGATGGTGGTGGCCGTGTGGTGTGGCCTTGACGGGTTTGGGTTTTTTGTTGGGTGGTGGTTGTGGCGTGATGCAGATTGTTAGTGGTGGTGGTTGATGGTAGCTGCTGGTCGAAGATTCGATAGTGGTCGTGGCTGTATTTTTGTTGCCAGTTGATTGGATTTGGTGGTGACGATTTGGTGGTGGTGATGTGGTGTTGGTGTCGGTGTCGGTGGTGGTGGTGTTGTCGTGGTGGTGGTGATAGTGACGGGATGGTAGTGGATTTTGCAACGGCGAAGACGAATAGAGGCGATGGTGGTAGAGTTGAGGACGGTGGTGTGTGACCACTATTTGGTGTATGTGACCAATTATTTGGTTACATGTGACCAAGTATTAAACTGTGACGCTGAAATTTGATAACCTGTGACTTGAAAAGTAATTTGTGACCAACAAATCTGGAAAACTGTGATTAATAGATAAATCGGGACCTGTAATTTTTTTTATTTATGACCAATAAAATAAACTGTGACCTATAATTTGGAAATCTGTGACCAATTAATTTGGAAATCTATGACTGTGTGACATATAAATTTTGATATGTAACCAACTAATTTTGAAATTTGTGACCAACGAATTAATTGTGATCTAAAAAATTTTTGAGCTGTGACCTTAAATTGTAAATCTGTGATCGGAATAGTAGTCGAAATAATTGTTGGAATAGGAGTAGTCGCCGAAACGGTCGTTGGAACAATCGCCGGAGAAGAGTGGTGGTCGGAATGGTCGCCGGAATAGTCCCCGGAGCGATATAAGTGGTGCATGTGGGTGAGTTAATTATATTATATTAGAATTAAATATTTAATAATAAATTGATTTAATAATTTATTGTTTTATAAATAAAAAAAAATCTGATTTTTGAATTGGCGTAAAATATACATCTTATTTATGAAATTTTCCCAAATTAAAATGTTTGTATAGATCCACAAAAACGTCCAAACCAATATGTCCCAAAAAAAGTGTAATATAACGTATTACAAGATATTTCACAGAGATATGAGTTGCCTCCTTATTCATTTTTGGTTATACTGTGCATTGAATGGATTCTCAATTTTCATGAGATTTAGGTTCTCGATCTTTAATACTCGTAGTATTTAAAGTTTTAAGTGTAAAATATATTGTTTGTTTGTTTGTTTTTTTTTTTAAATTAGAGGCAACTGTATGGTCATTTTGTTATTTTTAATTAGAGGTACTTTGATCTGTTTATTTATTTATAATGGTAAAGTTATAAATATTAATATATATTTTTTTGTCCAAAATGTGTTATTTTACCAACATACGGAGTGCAGTATGCAAACTCTTGGTACGCAAATTGTAAATACACCCAGGGGTATTTTGTAAATTTCTCCTTTCAAAAATAATTTTTACGTGCTGAGAGCCCGTTTGACGATCATTTTTGTAGAAAAAAGAATTTTGAATAGTGACTTTTAAGAGAATATGTCGTTAAAATAGGAAAAGGTTTTTGGTATACGTATATAATATTTTATTGTGTAAATGATTGAAAATAATATTGTACCAAACCATAAAATAAATAATTGTGCTATACAAATAGGTTCAAAGACATGTTTAAAAGCAGGGTGGATACGTGTCGAGACATGATTGGACAGTTTGACAAAAATAAAAACACAACCTGCAATTATTATCTGACACATCACCCTATCCTTCCATCATTGTTCTTGAGCCTGTCCAAAGAGCATTATTCTAAAATAAACTAAAGATTGTCAAACGAGTACTAAATTATCGATTCGACCTGGCCCGGCCTTATGGAAACGGCTGTTAAAAAACAGATACAGTTGGCATTCCCTCATTGGTAGTTAAAAAAATTTAAAAGAAAAAAACTACCGAATTATGCTACTTGTACAGATGTGGTTTACAAAAGTGTGTTGATAAAATGATATGGGAAGATTTAGATCATTGATTTCAAAAATTGTTTTTTAAATAATTGGCCAAGATGTTGCTAACACTTATTTTGTAAATCAATTTTGTAATCTAACTTTGTGCAAGATGACTCAAAACTACCAATCCACATATGCCACTTGGAAAAGCTTCTGTTTGACCTTGTTTGTTCAGCCTTATTCAAATTGGAATCCTGGTTGGATTTAGCCACTTGCCCGTGACCTGCATTCACTACCCGCCTCCGCCTAGCACTGCCGTCCTTCATCCTCCGTACATTTATTTCACAGGTGCGCCCTCATTAACTAATTTTCTCTGCCTCGCGTCGTTGAAAACTCATTAATTTGTGTTTTTAGCCGTTTAATGCTTTGGTTTTTCTTGAATTCGCGTTTCATGATGTTACTTGATAAATTTATTTGACGTCTTTATTATTTCTATTTTTAAATCATTCCTTTTATTTTTATTTTTATTTAGGGCTTCCAGTGTTATTCTTTGTAACATCGTGTTTCTTTGGGAATTCATTGTTGAAGCTACATGATAATACTTAGCAAGAATTTAATTGTAGATGATGAGGATAATGTGTGTAACAAGCTCTTTGTTTTCCCCCCGTGGTTTAACAAAAAATGAAATCAGAACTAACAAAACATAGATTTTATTGTTAAAGTATTGTTTACGAATTACCAGAATTTATGATTGCGTAGTAACACTTTTCTTTTCAACACTAGCGCCCCTAGTTCAAAATCTCTCATCCAAAAGTAAACCTTCCCATAAGCCAATAGCACATAGAACAAGATGTTAGGAGTAGTGGTGGCAGTAGTTCTTCTTACGTGCATCCACCTTGGGGATTGGGGGCTTGCCTTTTAATCTAATGGGATTGATTCTTAATTATTGTATATAGCTTAAGTGATATTTTGCAACTGTTTGGATCAATGGTAGCTTGTTATTGGATACAGTAGTAATGTTTATGGGGGTAAAACCCATGGTTTATATACGAGGGCTCAAAAATCCTAAAATAAGAGATTTAAGTTGATTTTGCATTTTGGAAAAAAATAAAAAATGACATGTATCCTAGAGATTTTATTGTGTTGGTATGTTAGATGCCCATACTCCACCCTAGCAGGAGTTTCTGTCTTTGTAATGTTGAGCAATTTTTCAGTGACTGCAGCTTGAAATCTTATATTTTCCTAGTTAAGAACCAAAATTGTTGATTTCAGCTAAAAAATAAACGTTTTGTTATCGTTTCTTCCAAATTCATAGTGTTGGTTCGATTTTAGAATAGGTTTGTAAGTGGTGGAGGATAGTTGCTGTTCGTGGAGGGATATCAGTAGTAGAGGTTAATAGCCAGTGGAGGAAGGTTCAGTGGAAATAGGTAATTACTTTGTAAACTTTTATCTTCTTTGGAAGAAGTGCTCATTTAACATGCACAGCAAAAGAAACTGAGGGTTATGTCACGGAGCATAATTTTTTGAAATATACTATTTTAATTTCTTCTCTTTGAAAGGCCGCAAGGTAATTTTTCTCCTTCGAAGCTTCTACGTAATAGTATAGACAATTGGCATTTACATAGAAGGTCTGGGCTTGGAACATATAATTTTGTGGGTCAGGTCATTTTTTGCAGTGACCATCAAAAGGGTCATTTGTGTTACTGGGATTGATAAATATTGTAATTTTTGAAAGGTTATATTTCTTGAATGTGATTTTGACAGTTTGTTTGATGTGTGAGCCTGTTTGTGTCCGTGTGGATGATAGAGAGGGAGAGCTGTGGTGGTAGGCGCCGTGAGGATTCTATGTGGTTCTGAGAATTGTTGTGCTGGAGTGTGTGGTGGAGCCATATTGGGCAAGGGGAGGTGTAGTGGCCCCCACAAACTTGTTGCTTTTTTTTCTTTAAAATTGAAAACAAATATACGTCTTCTGGATACATTTTGTAAATCTCTCTTCAGAAAGCTAAACCCCCAACCACCAAACATACCATAAAGCCAAAACCTTGGCTGTTCTCTTCGTATTTCAGTTTTTAGTTTTGAGTTTTGAATTCATTTTGAATCTTGTGTTTTGATTGTCCATTTTGAGATTGTTGAAAAAGCGTTATTTTTGTCATTTTGAAATTTTTTTTTCAAAAATAAAAAAAATGAAATTTTGGCTTGGTTTTAATTGAAAACAGCCAAAACGACTTTTTTGGTGTTTTTCGTTTTTTTTGTAAATTTTAAACTCGTCTTTGGAAACTCGTATCTAAAAATAGGTAAGTAAATGTGTTTTCAGTGTTCAAAAATTGAAAACTGAAAATGACCCGAAAACATAAAAGAGAACATGCCCTAAACATTTCTAACTCTCTCTTGGGCCTTGGATGTTGACTATTGTACTACTGCCAGAAAAGTTTATCAGCAGTGCAATCTTAATCTTCTACACAATCAGCATTTGAGTTTTCTTGTTGAAGGTGTATGCTATATTTATTTTGCTTTCTCTTAAAAGGTAAAGAAGAAATTTCAATCTTTGCATTTTTAAATTCCCTTTCTGAATGCCAATTTATTGTTATTATGTTGTTTAAAAATATTTCGCGACATAATTTACCATCAACAAGGCAAAAATCCTGGCTCCATCTCTCATTGGTGTTGTGGGTAAAGATGTCATGAAGCAGCTGGTGGAGGAGATTAGCACCTGTGGAAGTGACTGGCGAAGGACATATGGTGAAGGACGGTGGAAAAAGATGGGAAAAAGTAGTAAATGGTAGTTTTGGGCCCGACGTGGGGGTGTGGGCTGAAATTCTACCTGTTGGTTAGAATGGCTAATACCTTTTTCTTTTTGGGTGGGGCTGGGGGCTGGAGGTGGGAAATTGGAGAACACGGGTCACTGGGAATTGGGATGGCTATGCTTGGGACTCAACTATACCAAACATGGAATGGGGAATAGACCATGGGGAATAGACTAGGGAATGCTGATTCATTCCTGCATACCGTTTTCCACCTGAAACTGATGGCAATGCTTCATGTAGGAACTTGCCCGACTGGTCATGACGTCTGTGCTTAGCAGTTTTGTATAGAATTTTGATATTACGTTTTTTTTTAACAGCCCTTTTCCTCTTTTGAACTGTTCCTATTCGGCAGAAGTAAAAAGTAACGAAATGAGAGGGAGGAAGAATCTCAAGAGGGCAGTTGAGGAAGAGACGGTGACTCTTCAACAGGACCAAAGTATAATGCAAGTTGTGGATCTCAGGGGCTCCAATCTTATTGAGGTATACTTGCTCTTTCTAAGTGACACTGGTTTTCAAATTAGAGTCTCTGCCAAAACTTATAATCTGTATATGAAGGTGATGGATGCAAAAGGCCAAAAATCACTAGCAATTTTTCCAGCAAAATTCCAGAAAAGCATGTGGATTAAACGAGGTTTATTCCACTTCCATAAATATTGATAAATGTATTGAAATTTATGCTTCCATAGGAGTCTCAGCTTGGCTCACTGACCCTCGGGATTGGCTCAGCTCACTTTAGGGTGAGCCAAGCATGAGCAAGCTCGTTTCCAAAAAAGTTGGCTTGGCTCGTCCCACCAACTCTCCTGGTGGTGGGGCCCGATTTTAATTTTTTTGTAATTCAATTGAAATTTTTATTTTTGTTCGGTATGTAATCCCATTGCAATGTAATAGTGACTTGAAAAATCTATTTTTTTTAGTGTTTAATAAAAGAAATTTAAAGTTGTAAAAACCCTTCTCTTTTATCTAGGCTTGGGATCGGCTACTTGATATGTTAATGGAGTTAAAATTTTACAAGAGTCACTATTTCGTAAATAATTTGAAAGGTTAAAATTTAATTGTAGAAATAAAATAATAAAATACTCTTCCTTTATCCGAATTTGGGACCGTCTACATTATTTATACATTGATGTTTTCATCCCAAGTAAAACGGGCTCCTCAAGATAGGAATGAAAACTTCATTGCCCAAGTTTTCATGGAAAATTACATTGAAGAGCCTGTCTTACTTGGATGAAAACTATCTTTTCAAAGTGATTGAGGAAATTCCAACGAAACTTGATGTGTATTGAGACTTGAAAGTGAAATTAGAGAAGTGTGAAAACTTTGAAGTGAAAATGTAGTATTTATTGGTGAAAATTTATAAATTAATGGTTTTTTTTTAAACCATAAATTAATTTTTAAGAAAGCAGTCAATTTAAAACTTAAGAATTTTTTTATGTTGGCTCGCAAGCTGCACCCGAGCTGGCTCGCTAGCCATATCGTAAAAATCTGGCTTTGCTCACCCCGTTTGACACCCCTATGCTGCCATTATCTAATCTAGGCTTGCATATCTGTTTCAAATGGATTTTTCTTAATATCTAGATGGCCAATGCTATTTTCTTTGAAATTATTTTCCTGAGTTAATGGGATGATGACTCTTTTGGTTTTTATGATAGGGAACTTTGTTGTGGCCGACGAAAGTGGGAGAGAAGAGGCAGCCGAGTCTGGTAGAAAAGTTGGGTGCATCATTACGCAAGTACTCTACCATGTACAAGTTCGTCTGCTTCAAAAATCTCCAAACTGGTATATACTTATCCTAAATTCTTTCTATATATGAAATAGTTTATCAAGGACGGTCCATGTGTGATGATCATGAAAAATCCTTTTTGGTGTCAATTGTGCCGATTTTCTGCATCTGACCTTTAGTAGCTTTTCTATACGGCTTGTGAAGAACCATCATGTAACTTGTATCTTTTTAGTATTCTTGATAGAGCATGTTTGGATGATCTAAAAATTATAAATTTACTTATTAAGTAAATTTTTGTTTTCAAATGTTTGAATTGATTACTTTTTTTCCTACGTTTTAAGATAAAAAAAAAAAAAGGTAGATTGTAGGCATCTGAAATAAATAACTTATTTCCAACTTTGATCAATAAATGGACCAAGTCCCTGATGCAATTGCTGGTGGTGTAATGAGCGGTTTGCATTTCAAGATTTCTTGGGATAGAAGAACGAAGCAGTTTATGTTGCTAAATTGAGATGTATGTGTGTCAGTTTGTAAATGAAGGTTGCATAGTTCTGTTTTTATTTTAAGTCGTTCAAGACGAATTGCATCTGCTGAGCATAATTTTTACTGTGTGCTACATCGTCAAAAAGATAAAGAGAAGAATGGATCTCGACTTTTAACTTGTGCTTGTTGCTGGCTATTGATGCAGGCCAGAAGCTTTCAAATCTACGCCCTTAGCTAACTCGAAGCTAGATTCGCAATCACATACATCCAAATACGATGATTCTGAAAGTTTGACAGATGATGATGGACTCCCACCATTGGAAGCCAATACAAACAGAATAAATCCTCTTCAGACGCAGTTGGATACGGATTCTGAATCAGATTCAGACTAGTCTTAAATCTCATATTGTGACAGTATTTAAGCTCGTGTGAACAGAAGTGTATTCTTATATTTTTATCCATTTGAGTACAGATTGCAAGATGATTTATTGGAGTGTTCTGCCCTAATTTATTCTCAAAATCCTAACACGACGAAAGATGTTAAAGTGAGCTAGAATGGCAAAATGCCCTTTCGAGTAGATTTAGAGCAGGGACGGGGAACATGGTCCTTGCCCCCAACTCTTATGTTCTATTTTAGTTTAGTACATTGTATTTTACCCTTTTTAATTTCACCTCATTTTATTTTATTTTATTTAAAAGGGAGGAAACGAGGATCTATTGCCTTGCCTTCCGGAAATTTTGGCAGGAGGAACGGGAAGGGTCCTGGTCTGTTTTGGAAATATCGTCAGGGGCTTCGGCCAGTTGCCATACCTAAAGAGAGCAGCATGATTGGCTGGTTAAAATTAACAGAAAATTAAGCAAATTCCTACATTTTAACAATACTTTTCAAATATCAGATCTTAAACTTTTCTTTTCATAAATCAGGTGTTAATTAATATTTTAATAATATCAAATATATGACTTTGTTAATAAATATTTATTATAA